GGGATCTGAGCGAGATCCTTAGCATTCCATCGGGATTCCTAGGGATCTGAGCCAGATCCCCACCATTCCTTTTGGATTCCCAGGGATCTGAGCCAGATCCTTAGCATTCCCTAGGGATTCCCAAGGATCTGAACCAGATCCCTAGCATTCCCCATGGATTCCTAGGGATCTGAATCAGATCCTTAGCATTCCCTAGGGATTCCCATGGATCTGAACCAGATCCCTAGCATTTCCTATGGATTCCCAGGGATCTGAATCAGATCCTTAGCATCCCTAGGGGGTCCTACGGATCTGAGCAAGATCCCTAGCATTCCCTGGGGATTCCTAGGGATCTGAGCCAGATCCCTAGCATTCCGTAGGGGTTCTTACGGATCTGAGCCAGCCTTAGCATTCCGTCGGGATTCCTAGGGATCTGAGCCAGATCCCAGCATTCCCATAAGCATTCCTATGGATCAGAGCCAGATCCCCAGCATTCCCATAGGCATTCCTATGGATCTGAGCGAGATCCTTAGCATTCCCCAGGGATTCCTAAGGATTTGAGCGAGATCCTTAGCATTACATAGGGATTCCTATGGATCTGAGCGAGATCTTCAGCCTTCCATCGGGATTCCTATGGATCTGAGCCAGATCCCCACCATTCTCTCGGGATTCCCAGGGATCTGAGAGATCCTTCGCATTCCATCGGGATTCCGATGGATCTGAGCCAGATCCCCACCAGTCCCTTTGGATTCCCAGGGATCTGAGCCAGATCCCTAGCATTCCAGAGGGAATCCAATGGATCTGAACCAGATCCCTAGCATTCCCTAGGGATTCCCATGGATCTGAACCAGATCCTTTGCATTCCCTGTGGATTCCTGTGGATCTGAGCCAGATCCCTAGCATTCCCTAAGGGTTCCTAGGGATCTGAGCCAGATCCCTAGCATTCCGTATGGGATTCCCCATCCTTAACATTCCCATAGGCATTCCTAGGGATCTGAGCGAGATCCTTCGCATTCCCTAGGTATTCCCATGGATCTGAGCGAGATCCCTAGCATTCCCTGTGGATTCCGAGGGATCTGACCCAGATCCCTAGCATTCCCTGGGGATTCCTAAGGATTTGAGCCAGATCCCGAGCATTCCCATAGGCATTCTTAGGGATCTGAGCCAGATCCCCAGCATTCCCATAGGCATTCCTAGGGATCTGAGCGAGATCCTTAGCATTACATCAAGAGCCCTAGGGATCTGAGCGAGATCCTTAGCATTCCATCGGCATTCCCAGGGATCTGAGCGAGATCCTTAGGATTCCATCTGGATTCCTAAGGATTTGAGCCAGATCACCACCATGCCCGCGGGATTCCTAGGGATCTGAGCGAGATCCTTAGCATTCCATCGGGATCCCTAGGGATCTGAGCCAGATCCCAACCATTCCCTAGGGGTTCCCAGGGGTCGGATCCAGATCCCTAGCATTCCCTAGGGATTCCCAGGGATCTGCTCCATATCACCAGCATTCCCATAGGCATTCCTAGGGATCTGATGCAGATCCCTAGCATTACCCAAGGATTCCTAGGGATCTGAGCCAGATCCATAGCATTCCCTCGGGATTCCAATGGATTTGAGCCAGATCCCTAACATCCCCATAAGCATTCTTAAGGGTCTGAGCAATATCCCTAACATTCCCATAGGCATTCTTAGAGATCTGAGCCATATCATTAACATTCCCATAGGCATTCCTAGGGATCTGAGCCAGATCCCTAACATTCCCACACGCATTCCTATGGATTTGAGCCAGATCCTTAACACTCCCATATGCATTCCTAGGGATCTGAGCGGGATCCTTAGCATTCCTTAAGGATTCCTAGGGATCTGCGCGAGATCCTTAGCATTCCCTAGGGATTCGTAATGATCTGAGCGAGATCCTTAGCATTCCAGAGGGATTCCTAGGGATCCGAGCCAGATCCCCAGCATTCCCATAGGCATTCCTAGGGATCTGAGCCAGATCCCAGCATTCCCATATGCATTCCTAGGGACCTGAGCGAGATCCTTAGCATTTCATTCGGATTCCTATGGATCTGAGCGAGATCCTCAGCCTTCCATCGGGATTCCTATGGATCTGAACGAGATCCTTAGCATTCCTTAGGGATTCCTAGGGATCTGAGCGAGATCCTTAGCATTCCCTAGGGATTCCCTGAGCGAAATCCTTAGCATTCCATCGGGATTCCAAGGGGTCCGAGCCAGATCCCAACCATTCCCTGTGGATTCCCATGGATCTGAGCCAGATCCTTAGCATTCCCTAGGGACTCCAATGGATCTGAACCAGATCCCTAGCATCCCCTCGGGATCTGAGGCAGATCCATCGCATTCCCTAAGGATTCCGAGGGATCTGAGGCAGATCCCTAGCATTCCCTAAGGATTCCCAGGGATCTGAGCCAGATCCCCAGCATTCCCATAGGCATTCCTAGGGATCTGAGCCAGATCCTTAGCATCCCCTAAGGATTCCTAGGGATTTGAGCCAGGCCCCTAGCATTCCGTAAGGATTCCATATCCTTAACATTCCCATAGGCATTCCTAGGGATCTGAGCGAGATCCTTAGCATGCCCTAGGGATTCCTAGGGATCTGAACCAGATCCTCTGCATTCCCTAGGGGTTCCTACGGATCTGACAAGATCCTTAGCATTCAATCGGGGTTCCTAGAGATCTGAGCCAGATCCCCAACATTCGCATAGACATTCCTAAGGATCTGAACCAGGTCCCTAGCATTCCCATAAGCGTTCTTAGGGATCTGAGCGAGATCCTTAGCATTCCATCGGGATTCCTACGGATCTGAGCGTGATCCTTAGCATTCCGTTTGGATTCCTACGGATCTGAGCGAGGTCCTTAGCACTCCATCGGGATTCCTACGGATCTGAGCCAGATCCCCACCATTCCTCCGGGATTCCCAGGGATCTGGGCGAGATCCCTAGCATTCCATGGGAATCCCTGGGATCTGAGCCAGATCACCATTATTCCCTCGGGATTCCCAAGGATCGGAACCAGATCCTTAGCATCCCCTAGGGATTCCCAAGGATCTGAACCAGATCCCTAGCATTCCCTAGGGATTCCAAGGGGAATCTGAGGCAGATCCCTAGCATTCCCTCGGGATTCCCAAGGATCTGAGCCAGATCCTGTACATTCCCATCGGCATTCTTCGGGATCTGAGCAGTATCCCTAACATTCCCATACGCATTCTTAGGGATCTGAGCCAGATCATTAACATTCCCATAGGCATTCGTAAGGATCTGACCCAGATCCTTAACATTCCCATAGGCATTCCTAGGGATCGGAGCCAGATCCTGCACATTGCCATAGGCATTCCTGGGGATCTGATCGAGATCCTTAGCATTCCCTAGGGATTCCCAGGGATCTGAGCGAGATCCTTAGCATTCCCTAGGGATTCCTAGGGATCTGAGCGAGATCCTTAGCATTCCATTGGGATTCCTATGGATCTGAGCCAGATCCCAACCATTCCCTCGAGATTCCCATGGATCTGAGCCAGACCCCCACCATTCCCTCGGGATCCCCAGTGATCTGAATCAGATCCTTAGCATTCCATCGGGATTCCCAGGGATCCAAGCCAGATCCCCACCAGTCCCTCGGGATTCCCATGGATCTGAGCCAGATCCCCACCATTACCTTGGGATTCCCAGGGATCTGAGCCCTAGCATTCCCTAGGGATTCACAGGATTCCTAATGATCTGAAGCAGATCCTTAGCATTCTCTCGGGATTCCCAGGGATCTGAGCCAGATCCATAGCATTCCCTAGGACTCCCAGGGATCTGAGCCAGATCCATCGCATTCCCTGGGGATTCCTAGGGACCTGAGGCAGATCCCTAGCATTTCCTAGGTATTCCTTAGGATTTGAGGCAGATCCGTATTCTCTGGAGAGTCCCAGAGATCTGAACCAGATCCCTAGCATTCCTTGGGGATTCCTAGGATCTGAGCCAGATCTCTAGCATTCCCTAGGGATTCCGAGGATCTGAGCCAGATCCCTAGCATTCCGTAAGGATTCCTAGGGATCTAAGCCAGATCCCGAGCATTCCATAAGGATTCTTTGTCCCCAGGGCTTCCAGGGCTTGAAGCCAGATCCCTGATCTGGCCCGCTCTCATTTTTAGCCCCAGAAGGGTCAGATCCCTGATTTGGACCGCTCCCATTTTTAGCACTTAGAAGACGGGTTGTCGGTCGGTTCCCCGTTCTGGCAGTTCGAAGACCGGTTCCCCGTTTTGGCCGTTTACCCGTAATATATATTATGAGAACTTGTCTCGAGATGTTTGAAGGAACCTTGCTCCCAACAACGGACTATATATATATATATATATATATATATAAATATAAGACGCAATCTTGTCGCGTGCCGGAAGCAAGAGGGAAGTGTTGCAATTGAGCCAGGGTGCGATTTGCGTCGATGGCTCGCTAAGAGTCGAGTGAATTGTGTTTTGTAAGGTGCTCCCGAGAAGTTCAAAGTTCCAGCGTTTACTCAAATTTCATGTTCCGATTAGCCGTGCTTTGTAAATCAAACAATTATGTTTCGATATATTTCCACAGCAGTTAAGCAATAGCAAATGTAGATAAGGCAAAAGTTTTTGCGACGAACATATGTAGTTTGCTCATTGCAATGAGTAAGTTCAGTGTTTTCTTTAAGTCACTTGACGAAGATACGAGAGCACGACCGTTCGATTGTGTTCATTTTTTTTTTGTTTTTTTGTTTTTGTTTTTTCCCTCTCTTTTATGTATATGTATATTCTGTCTTCTGAAGTTGCCTGTTGTTTCGCACCCTTCGTTCAATCAGTAGTGTTTTTAACGCAGTTCGTGCGAAACACTAGGCTGCCGGTACGCCTTGTTTCCAGGCTTCCGCTGCCGTGCTGGGGACACACAGCGCATTTGCGAGAAGCTCCGGTATTTTTTCGGCCGTGGAAACAAGAAATGGTGGAAGGTTTGTAATAAGGTTTGTCGCGCGTTCATAAAGCTTGGAATGTTCTCGGTCGCCATGCCGATCGTCGAGCTGCTCATTCAATAAAGTCTTCTCCCAAGGCATCGCCTCCGAAGAAGTTGGCCGTGGCCGTGTTCAATCATTGGAGACTTCTGGTTCCTCCACGCCGGGTCTCGGCAAGAAACAGCTTAATTTATTGAGCGCTATGGATCCAGCCAAGAGACATATTGGTTTCGGTACGCCTTGTTTCCAGGCTGCCGCTGCCGTGCTGGACACGCACACACGCACGTTTGCCAGGAGCTCCGTTTTTTTTTCGGCCGTGGAAGCAAGAAATGGTGGAAGGTTTGTAATAAGGTTTGTCGCGCGTTCATAAAGCTTGGAATGCTCTCGGTCGCCATGCCGATCGTCGAGCTGCTCATTCAATAAAGTCTCCTCCCAAGGCATCGCCTCCGAAGAAGTTGGCCGTGGCCGTGTTCAATCATTGGAGACTTCTGGTTCCTCCACGCCGGGTCTCGGCAAGGAACAGCTTAATTTATTGAACGCTATGGATCCACCAGCCAAGAGACAGATTGCTTTCGTGGGCTTTACCGCAAGCCATTTGAACCAGAGAGTGGCATATATTAGCGATTTGATCAAGTCCATTGACAGCCAGATTTCCTTTCATGTCGGACATTTCTACACCCGGCCACTTCCTTTCTCAGAAGTGCTGGTGGTGAAGGAAAAACGTTTCCGACTACGAGTGGCGGTGCCATTATTTTATAGTCAGCAAAGACGAAGGTCAATGCTTCTCGTGATTGGGCCCTTCGAAAAGCAACAGACATGATCAAGACAGATAGTATTCTACGTGGTCGCAGTGTCCATGCTGATTGGAAGATGCGGAAAGTCACCATTGACGAAAATTCTGTTTTCATCCAGAATGACGGTGATTTACGCGGTGGTTTCACTGGCGAGTTTGCGCACCTCCGTTTACCCTAGGAAGCACGGGGTCGCGCACAGTTTTGTTCACAGTCTCCTTCTTCGTCCTTTTCTCCCGCGTGCTCTGCTGCCCCTCACGCTGTGAGTTGTGTGCGGCCCCCTTCGCGTCGATTCCGGAGGCGTGGTCCTCGTTCTAGTTCTTCATTTCTTCGGCGTTTCACTGAGCATTGTTTGCGTCCGATTGCAGATGAGACGGTCGCGAATTCTCTTACTCCCGAAATTTCGAACCGCCTTAGGCCGGAGTTTTCGAACCGCCTCTGTTGAGACCCATAGCATGATCTGTGTAATTGTAGGGGGTAGTAGGTAGGAGCAGGTAGCAGTAGCAGGGGTAGCATCAGAAGCATGTTGCATTGCACTGCAGCCCTTTCGGTTCCGAGCGCAGGTGAAGGGACCCCTCTCCTCTCCTCCTCTGCGCGCGCCGCCGCGTCATGGCAGCGGAGCGTGGCTGCTGAGAACGGCCCGCCAGGCCGCTTCCCCAGTGGGCCCTGAGCCCGCCCCCGGTGCGGGGGCAGCACCGCCCAGACCCAGGCCGCCTCCTGGGCCACCACCTCGGCGGACCGCCCGCCCCTCCCGCTCCCCCAGGGCCGCCCGGGGAGCGCCCAGCCCGCCGGCGCGGGGCCCGCCGTCCGGGGGTCACGAGAGCCTTCCACAGCCGGTCACGCTGAGACCAGCACGGGGTCAGGGAAACCCCAACAACAGATGAGTGAGGAGCAAGGAGTCCCACGAGCTGCGGACGAGCCGGCGGAAGCTCAGACTCCGGCTGAAGCACAAGGACCCTGCACTCAGAGAGGGTTTGTGCAACGAGCTGGGCGCCAGGCAGAGGGAGTCTCTAGGTCTGACCTTGGACGTGCTCCCGACAGCGACCGAGCGCCGCGAGCACTTGGAGGCTCTCTGGGAACCCTACAGGCGGAAGGTCGCAGGCGAGGCGCCGAAGCTGGTCACCGACAGCTCCGGGCAGACTCGCGGAGTCGATCCTGAGCCTGGCCGCCAGCGGGCGTTGTGTGCCAGTAAGCGCGAGTGGTTCGACAACAGCCACAGTCGCGCCCTCGAGTTGCTGCTGTTGGACGGCGACGAGCTTTTCGAGAAGGCCAAGCCGCTCCTGGACAGGCGACAGGAACTCCAGGCGCGACAGGACGCCGGAGAGGCCGACGACCGCGAACAGCGGGAGCTCAGCCGCTTGCTCGAGGAGCTGGAGGTGATCTCCTGCGCGCTTGCTGAACTAGAGGACAGCAAGGGTTGGCGCGAGCAGCGTCTCCAGGACACCGACGGGGCGCCACCGGGCCACTCGCAGCGCGGCGCTGCGAGCTCAGCGGCTGCTCCAAGCCGCCCCAGGCCGTCCGTCGCGCCCCGGCGGCAGCGCGAGGCGGCCGAGCGAGGGCAGCCAAGCTGTCCCGAGCGCCGGGGTGCCACAGCGGCTGACACAAGCCGTCGTGCACCGTCAGCGGCCCCGCAGTGGCCGCGACCGTCGGCAGCGCCGGAGCGAGCAGCGCGGCGCCGCTCTCGCTCGAGGAGCAGGCCATCGTGCAGGTGGCAGGACGCGGCGCCATGGCGACTGTAGAAGATCAGATGCGGGAGCAGCTGCGTCAGCAAGACCAGCAGATCCGTGAGCTCGTTGCCACTGTTCAACAGCTGAGGGCGGCGCCGGCGCCGCAGCCAGCGCAGCCAGCGCAGCCTCTCGTGCAGCTTCAGCCTGCTGTAGACACGCGCCTCGTCGGCAAACCAGAGCTGTTCTACGGGGAACGTGCAAAATGGAGCGACAGGGCTTTTATCTGTCGAGCTTACTTAGCAGCGATAGATACAAAGTACCCGGCGTTGTTGGACGAAGCGGAGGCTTCGGAGGTGGTGATCAGGAACGTAGACCTTGACCAGCCGTGGAAGGCGTCACTAAGTTTGCAGCTTTATTACTTGATGGTAATGCTGTTCCGGTCAGCAGCCCAGGACAAAATGTCCACCGTGTCCTCCGGATGGGGACTGGAGGCATGGAGACAGTCGGTCCTTGACTGGGACTCCTGATCAAGATACTCACCGCGAAGTTCAGCGGGGACATCCCGCAGAGCTTAGATCAGTTTGAACATCTGATCCGCGAGTACGAGCAGCAGTCGAAAAAGGTCTTCGACGAAGATCTTAAGTTTGGCCTGGTGGTGGTCAACATGCAGGACACCAACGTCCAACAACACCTTGTGAAGAACGCAAGCAGGTTGGAAACTTGGAACGCCATGAAGGAGGAGCTGCTCGACATGGCGCGAACCACGCAGTACCTGAACTCCCAGCCCAAACCTATGGAGCTAGGCGCCATGCCACAAAGAGGAAAGGGCAAGAAGGGGATGGTAAGGGTAAAGGTGAAGGTAAAGGTAGGAAGGGGGAAGGAAAAGGAGGCGATCCACGGAAGCCAACAAGGAGAAGGAGTGCTTCTACTGCCACAAGAAGGGGCACATCGCCGCGGAGTGCAGGAAGAAGGCGAGGGACAACCAGGCTAGGCTGGCAGCGGCCCCTGAGGCCGCGCAGCAGGGCGGTACAGGACCCCCGCCTACGGCGCAACCGGTGGCTGGTCTCATGCAGATCGGGCAGGAGGAGGTGCAGCATGGGTACTTGATGCCATTATGCTCACCGAGCGACTCCGGCGAAATGCTGGCCCCCATGCCTCAGAGAGTCATGGTCGACACAGGTGCTGGCAGGTCCGTGTGTCCGGCTGGTTTTGACCCCCGGGCAGAGCCGGACAGCTCTGTCAAACCAACCGCGCTGACGACGGCGACGGGGGAAGAAGTGAACTTTTCGGACGGGAAGAGGTCTCGCTTCCAGGCAAAGGACGGCAGTGGCGTTGTCTTGCGGTACAGTGACAGCGACAAGGCTGTCGTCTCGGCGTCAGAGTCGACCGAGCAAGGCAACTGGCTGGTATGCGGCCCTGGGGTACAGCGTATCATAGGGCCAGACCACGCCGAGCACCTCAAGGAAGCCGTGCGCCAATCGAGCGGATTGGACATGGTAAAGGATAGGGGGGTGTACTGGCTGGAAGTGCGGGGGGCGACAGGGCAGGAAGAGGCGAGGCCGCTCTGCACAGCGAAGGCAGCAAGGAAAACGTTCACCCCGGCTGAACAACAACCAGCGGCACCTGATGCCATGCAACCAGCAGCGCAAGGGGAGGCCCCGAGGCCGAACGTGCAACAAGGAGGGTCGTCCTCGAGCGCGTCCGGCGCTATGCGCCCAGACCCCGCGCTGCCTGACCAACGGCCGCCCGCGCTGATGCCAGACTCGGAGGATCCACGGGCGCCGCGAGCAAAAGCCATACCACCAACTGTGAGCAAGGCGGAATGGGACGCGCACCAGCTAACCCATCTGCCGTTCAGGTCGTGGTGTGAAAGCTGCGTCGCAGGCAAGGCCGCCGAAGACCCCCACCGGCAGCTCCAGCAGGCCCCCGACGGAGCAACGCCGAAAGTGTGCATGGATTACCTTTTCCTCACGCAGAAGGCGGTGGAGAAGGAGATGTACGCTGTGTTGAACGTGCTGGACGCGAAGTCCGGCGCCCCGTTTTCAGGCATGGTCAACCAGAAGGGTGACGACGACTATGCATTGGCAATCGCCCATGAAGGAGTGCGCTTCGCAGGCAGGACAAACTTGATTGCATGTTGTGATGGCGAGAGCGCTATCAACAAGCTGTGCGACAAGTTTCTGGAAACCCGGCCTTCCGGACATACTGTCACGAAGGTGAACGCCCCGAAGGGCAGTAGTCAGAGCGCAGGGCTGATTGAGCGCAGCAATTACGAGGTTGAGAAGGAGTACAGGGCCGTGAAGCACAGGCTGGAGTCCGTCTACAAGCAGGCGTTCCCACTCAGCCACAAGGTGCAGCCTTGGCTTGTGAGACACTCGAGTTGGCTTATCGTCCGTTTTCTCGTCGAGGCAGACGGCAAGACGCCGTGCGAGCGCCTGCGTGGCAAGCCATACAACGGCGAGATTGTCGAGTTCGGGGAGTGCGTCTACCACAAGAGTCCTCTTAGCGAAGTGGGCAAAGCGGGCGACCGCTGGCACCTTGGTGTCTGGCTCGGGAAATCCATGCGATCAGACGAGCACTTGGTTGGCACTGCCAAGGGAGTGCTGTTGTGCAGGTCGATATGGAGGAGGCCAGAGAAGGACAGGTGGGACGCGCAGCTGCTTGACCGATTCGTCGGCTCTCCTTGGGCCCCGGTGCCCCCAGGAGTCATGGAGGTCAAGCCCCGTGAGGTGTACATCACCCTCGACCGGATCATCCGCCTCGGCAAAACACCCGGTTGCCCTGGCTGTCGTGCGCCAGGTGAGGCGAGGCGCGCAGCTGAGTGCCGCGAGAGGTTCGGCAAGCTCGTAGGAGCTGAAAAGGAAGACGTCGCGAAACGGAGGCAGGAAACGCAACCAGCGGCACTTGATGCCGCGCAGCCAGCAGCGGCACCTGATGCCGTACAACGTGTAGCGGCACCTGATGCCGCACAGCCAGCAGCGCACGCTGCTCAAGCACACCCGCCTCCTGCTGCTGCACCGCCAGGCGGTGCGCGCGCAAGCCAGCAACAGCAACAACAACAGCACCAGCAAGCTGTGGAAGGGGCAACACCAGGCTGCACCGCCAGACGTGCAGATGGGGGAAGCACGCGTAGGTCAGGAGGACGCCCGCGACGTCGAAATGGAGGGGGAGCCACAGGAGGACTCCCAGTCGAAGAGGTCCCAGCTAGTCGCTGGCCTGCCGATTCTCCACGAGCCAGCTGTAGTGGCAGCTGCTTTTGGGACGTGCGTGTGTTTTCTGGCAGCGGCACCTGATGCCGACAGCAGCGTCCCACAAGTATGCCCTGCACAGATGGAGTGGGACAAAGATTTCTTTTCCACGAAAGCAGGCATTAAACTGGACCCCCAGAAAGTGCTAGAGGGTAAGATCCGCGAGATGACCCAAATAGAAGCCTACAAGGTGAAGGGGGACATCCCATGGTCCACAGCCAGAGAAAGAAAACTGAAAGTTGTGAACTCGAAGTGGCTGCTTGAACCCAAACCGACAGCTGAAGACCGGGAGGCGGTGCGGGCCAGGCTGGTAGCAACAGAGGTCATTACGTATGCGCGCGAGGACGTGACACAAAGCACACCTCCGGTGAAAGTCTTCCGGATCATTGTGTCGTTGGCCGCGTCCAAGCAGAGGGCGGACGGGTCATGGTCTAGGCTCGTGGCTGTGTACGATGTCTCGGTTGCTTTCTTCCACGCAGACAGCGACGGCGCGACGGCAGTCATCCCGCCACCAGACGTCCGCAGAGAAGGATACGCGTGGTTGTTGCTGAAAGCCATGTATGGCACGAGAGAAGCTTCGAAACGCTTTGGTCAGTGCGTGATCCACGCTTTAGCTTCGGAAGGTTTCGAACTTGTTGTTGTTGTTGTTCCCATGACATTCTTTCGCAGAGCACTGGATGTGTCCATGGGTTGTCACGGCGACGATTTTCTTGCAGAAGGCGAGAGCGATTCGTTAGACCAGGTAGACAACATCATGCGCAAGCACTTCGAAGTGAAGATCTTGCCTCGAATCGGCCCCCCGGAGTTCGGCGGACAGGCGGCGACCGGAAGCCACCTGAAGAGGACGATCCGCTGGGCCACGTCCGGTTCTCGTCGAGCTCCAAGGCCTCGCACCGGGAGTGTCCAAGGGTGTGAGCACGCCGGCGTCCAAAGACACCGGGAAGGGCGACAGAGACGTCGACGATCCCCTTGGGAGGGACGACGCGGTGCTCTTCAGGACAGGAGCGGGGTCGCTACAGTACCTCGCAGAGGACACGCCCACGGTCAAGTTTGCAGCCTCTGGGATCATGGAGGGGATGACGGCGGTTCTCAAGACTCACCAGATGAGGCTGGCACGCAGCAGCCGGTACCTGTTGGACCACCCAGGAGAAGCGTGGCTCTTCGACTACCAGAAAATGCCTTGATCTCTGACGGAGTACTGCGACTCAGACTGTGCAGCAGACCGAGAGACGAGGAAGAGCGTGAGTTGTGTGGTCGAGAGCTTCGGGAAACATTTGATTGATGTAAGCGTATCGGAACAGTCTCTCCTGGCCCTCTCGAGCGGGGAGGCAGAGTTCTATGCCATCATCAAAGGGGCAGCGCAGGGCGTGCAGACAAGCCAGGTGATTGAATCTTTCGTTGGCCGCGAGTGCAAGCTAGATGTGCTGAGCGACTCGTCAGCAGCGCGGGGGATCTGCAACCGGCAAGGAAGTGGTAAGGTGAGGCACCTGTCCGCGAAAGACCTCTGGGTGCAGTCATTCTTCCGTGACAGCCGCGGCAACCTGAAGAAAGTTGACGCGGAGGTTAACTGGGCAGACCTTGGTACGAAGGCGCATGCACAGGCTCGGCTACAGCAGCTAGTGGACATGATGCCACTGAGGAGGAACGAGCCCTTGAGGAGCGAAAGGAGGAAGGGCTTGAGCTCAGGCAGGGTTGCGTCGTTTCTGGCGATGCTGAACCCGTGCAGGTAGTGGGCCGTGAGTCCGCAAGCAACACCAAGCAGTGGACCCTGAGTCCGCGACCAACAGCGGGGCTTGAGTCCGCACACGAGGACGCTGCGCACGCCTAGCCGGCAGCGCGGCGACCGGGAAGGCAGCAGAAGCATGCCACAATCCCACAATACCAACGCGCATGGCTATGGTGGTGGACTCCCCATACATGCGCTACGCCAGCGGGTGCTGGCAAGCCTGGCTGCTAGGAGCTGCCGGGTGGAGTGTGCCGTGAGCACGCCGTATGTCCGTGCAAGGGGTACGGGTACGCAGTGAGTAAACAAACAGTACGACTTGTGTACACAGTTACTGAAACGAAGCCCCGTCTATGGATTTAGCGGGCCATCTGCTCATGGACTTGACAGATGAGGAGGTGTCTACAGGAGGCTAGAGCCTGATCAACTCTCTCTTGACACTGAGCGAGCCGGAAGGGCAGGGACTGGCACTGAGCGGATCGCGCATCCGCCACTTTGACAGTGAAGCGCGGCTCCGGGAGCCGCCCTGCACAAGCCGACCACCCCAGCGGAGCCTGACTCCGCGGAGAGGCCGGGAGCACTCTTAGGACGCTGCTTGCCTAGGTCATGCTAAGTACAGGCTCTGACCAGACAGCAAGGTCTCGGCAGAGTGGAGGGGCGTTGAGACCCATAGCATGATCTGTGTAATTGTAGGGGGTAGTAGGTAGGAGCAGGTAGCAGTAGCAGGGGTAGCATCAGAAGCATGTTGCATTGCACTGCAGCCCTTTCGGTCCCGAGCGCAGGTAAAGGAACCCCTCTCCTCTCCTCCTCCGCGCGCGCCGCCGCGTCAGCCTCAGGCCGGAAGTTTCGAACCGCCTTTGGCCGGAAATTTCGAACCGCCTTAGGCCGGAATTTTCATACCGCCTTAGGCCGGAAGTTTCGAACCGCCGTAGGCCGGAAGTTTCGAGCCGCCTTAGGCCGGAAGTTTCAGACCGCCTTACTTCTGGATCTCAGATGTGCCCTCTGCCTCCGTTTCGCCCCTCCCTCTCCCAGCCAACCCTGCATGATTCTTTTGAGCCCTTTCGGTATTCTTCCACTCCGGACGGTGGCTGTGGCAACTCCCAGCTTCGCCGTCCGTTGATGTTGCTGATTTCACCATTTTTACATTAATTTAAGATCTTTCAATGCTCATTCTGGCGAGCTCTCTGCTCGTCTGTCTCTTTTTGCTTCTCCTCCTCATTTAGTTTGCATTGTTGAAACTTGGTTCGACGCTTCCATTTGCACTCCGTCGCTTACCGGATACAGAATTCTCGCGCGGTGCGACAGCAGTCAGCAAGCAGGAGGTGTAGCCATTTTTGCGCTTGACTCTATCATTTCTGTGTGTTCTCCTTTGCCTAATTCTCCTTCGGCCGAGCTCTGTTGGATTCTGGTGCATTGCGCTTCTGGCCCAGTGGTCATTGTGTGCATTTATCGCCACCCTTGTTACGGGGAAGTTGATTCCCTATCTGCTTTAGCTTCTGAGTTTAATAATTTGTACGATCAGTGCGTTGGTTGCATTTTGCTTGGAGATTTTAATGTGCATCACCTTCACTGGCTGCGTTTCAGCCATTCTGTAACCCCGGAGGGAACCTTTTTGAAGAACTGGTCAAGCGAGCATGGGTTATCCCAGCGAGTGCGGTCTCCAACTCGTGGTGCGTATCTCCTTGATTTATTTTTTACTGATTTGCCAAGCCTTTTGACTCTTTTGACTGTCGAAGAAGTATCTGAAATTGCTGACCATCGTGGCTTGTCGATTCGTTTTTCCTCCCCGCCCCTCCCTTTGGAATCCTTCTCCCGAGAAGTGTGGCACTACGGCAGCGCCAGTTGGTCTTCTTTGAAGCGTTCCATTGCGCAGCATGATTGGGGATGGATTTCTCAGCTGTCAGTACACGATGCAACGCGACGTTTCACTGATGTCATTTTAAGTTTGATGCGTCAGTTTATCCCCCGCTCATCCGTTTCGTTCCGCCCTTCCCATTCTTGGCTGACAGAGGAATGTGCACGTTTAGTTCGGGAGAAAGTTGACAGTGCCGGAACTGAGTTTTATCCAGCTGCTTGCCGTCGTTGTAGCGACGGTTTGCTTGCTGCCCACCAGGCTTACGTCGTGCGCACCCGGGCGAAGCTCAGACGATGGCGCCGCGGAAGCAAGCACTGGTGGAAAGTTTCCGATTCCTTGCTTAGTCGTTCCCCCTGTTCCAGTGGATCTTTTTTGAAACGCTCCAGCGGAGCTTGGGCTATCAGCAGTGCCGATAAAGCAGAGCTCTTTGCTGCGAGTTTTTCAAGCAAGTGGAGCTTGCCGCCGGCAGAGGTCAATGAATTCACAGTTTTTTCTTCACGCTTAATTGAAGAAGACGATGCCTTATTCTTGCGTGTTCGGCTGCGTTGTGCTCGCGCTGTTCAGTCTGACTTACGAAGCGACAGTTCCAGTGGTCCTGATCTCCCCCCCTTTCGTTTTTTAAAAGCCTGCAGCCGCGAGTTAGCCTTGCCTTTCTGTCTCTTAGTGCGACAAATAGTTGGTCAGGCGCATTGGCCGTCTTGTCGGTGTGAGCACTGGATTTTCCCGCTCCACAAGCGCCAAGCGCTCTCCGACCCGGATAATTATCGTGGACTCCACCTCACTTCGCAGCTCTCGAAGGCGGCAGAGAGACTGATTCGAGATCTGTTTGTTCCACGTCTGGAACGTCTCGGCGCTTTTGGGCCGGCGCAGTTTGCGTGCAGACAGGAGCGCGGGGCTCGCGATGTAGTTCTTTATTTTCTTTTGTCTTGGAGTCACTCCTTCTCTCTCGGCCTCCGCGTTATCCTCTATTGTTCTGATGTGTCTGGAGCTTTCGACCGTGTCTCCGCTGACGCTCTTTGCGCGAAGCTCGCCTCTGCTGGAGTGGCGCCGCGCCTTGTCTCTCTTCTTGCAAGTTGGCTCCGGCAGAGAACGGCGCGTGTCGTCGTCGGTGGTCAACTGTCCCGTCCAATCACTATGGAAGACATGGTACACCAGGGGGCAATTTTCGGACCGCCTCTGTGGAACACTTTTTTTGCAGACGCTTGCATGGCAACCTGGGCCGAGGCTTCCGAAGAAGTTGTTTATGTTGATGATTTAAATGCATGGCGTTCTCTGGCTGCTGATGTAGCCGACGAGCGTTGTCTAGCAATTCTTCGTCAATGTCAAGCTTCGCTCCACGCTTGGGGTCGTGCAAACCGTGTGCAGTTTGATGCGCGCAAGGAAAGCCTGCACGTGCTTTCTCGTGCGCGTCCCGTCGGCGATCATTTTAAGTTCTTGGGTATTCTTTTCGACCCAAAACTTTTAATGCACAGCGCCGTGGACGACTGCGTTTCCGCTTGTTCGTGGAAAGTGCTCAGGCTAATCCGTACTCGGAGGTTCCGCGCAGATGCTGAGCTCATTGGTCTCTTCTAAGCTCACATCTTGTCGTACATTGAATATCGCACGGCTGCTGTCTACCACGCCTCTTCTTCTGTCCTCTCTCCTTTGGACGCGGTTTTAATTAGATTTTCACGTAGTTTGAATATTTCGAGCACGGACGCTTTGTTCCACTTTAACCTTGCCCCTCTCTCGACACGCCGGGACATTAGTATTCTTGGGGTAATTCACCGTGCTGTTTCGGGTGTTGGCCTCGCAAGTTTTTCGTTAGCGACGCGCGTCCTGCGCCGGCTAGAGCTCCGAGGCGCCACAGGCACCACCTTGTCGAGCCCCCGTATTGCGCTCCGGACTTTTTGTTGCACTCGGCTATTGGCGCTGTGCGCATTTACAATTTGCTGCCGGACTTCGTCGTGGCAGCGCGCAGCGTCTCCGAGTTTCAATCCCGTCTGCAGGCCCTCGTGCGTTCCAGGGCAATCACTTTGAAGACTGGCCAGGAACTCTATCGCCGCGCCTTCCGCTCGCTTCCCATCCTCTCCGTGGGTGTCGTGACTGGTGCGGGTAATATCTTTTTGGCCCTGTCTCTGCCTTCTCTTTCCTGTTCCTCTTCTCCTCCCTCCCCTTCTGTCTCCTCTCCTGTGCATGAGTATTTTTTGGAGCAACCTTCGCATTATTTTTTGAGCGTTTCACCATTCTTGCATCCTGCAATCTTTAACTTGCTCTGAGCACCGACTTGACTTGGTGACTTGGTGAGAGAATCCGCGTTGCGAGCTTCATATAGAACAAAAAAACCTATAGTCACGCGATGTGCACAGATCATGGGCTTCCAGCTGTCCCAGCCTTCCCAGGCGCAGCTGTGCCTCTGGGCACGCCTGCGCCCCCAACTCCTGCTCCCGCCCCGCCGGGTGTGTTTTCGAGCGCCCTGCCGGGTGCCCCGAGTGCAGATTCTGCACTGGTGAGCGGGGTTGCGGCATCGAGCAGTGGTCTGGCCGAGGTTCCTGCCGCAGACGTTTCGGACAGCGAGAAGGTCAATTTTATTCTGGACAGCATGTCCATGAAGCACAAAACGGTAACCAAAAAGGATTTGATCCAGACTGAGATCTCGCACGTGTCTGAGCAGTTGAGTCCAATCAAGCGCGATTTGGTCGACTTGAACGAGCGCTTTTGCACCGTCGAACAGTTTCGAGCCCTTTTTTTGTCACTGGTCTACGGAATTCTCGTCATGTTTCCAAGGTGTCCTATTTGAAATTTGGGTCATCCTATGTGGCTTCTGTATTCCTTGGATTTGCACAAGGCGAAAACGTCAGAGTGCAAGGATGTTTCAGGAAAGATCAAAGTGCTAAGAGCCAGATGAATTTACGCTCAAGTCATTTTGGCTCAATTCATTTTGGCTCAAGCTGAAGCGGTCAAACCAATTTGTTCACTGCCACGGTCTATCTTCGCCTGTCGCTGGGGCGGTCTACCACCACAGTTTTGGACATTCTCTGTGCTAATTTTCCTTCTCGCTCACCACATGTCTAGCATGGCCGGCGTTCCGGGCGTCAGAAACCTGCGTTCGAGAAGGACAAGGAGACCTTGGCGCGTTTAAGTGGAGCACTGCTTTTGCAAGTGCTCCCGCC